CAGAAGCGTGGGGCATCTTGGAAAGTTAATTGGTTAGTCTGAATAAGGTCCTGGTGAAGATCCCCAGAGAGGTTTCCCTCTCCCTTGTTCTCTTGTTCTCAGTTGCTCCATGACGTGCACGTGTCCGTGTGTTCACTCATTCTCTCCCCACACCCACGTGGCCTATTGGCCATTCGGACTTTACACACAGGATGCTGGACTGGACTTTAATATGGAACAGAAATTCTGGGCAGTGGCCTTTATTCTGGACCCGCCAAAGACAAGATTGTATATCTTCCATGGCGAGATGAACAGAGATGGGACCTTGGAGGGGGAACTCTAATTTTACATCATCAGTAAGCTTTCTACTAAACCCCATCCTCTCATGGGGCCTCAGGAAATTCATTTCCTCCCCCCCCCTCCAAGAACTCCACTTCCACCGATAACATTACTACCAACCTTAAGGGAATATTATGTACAATAGTATGCCAACAAATTAGGTAAAAATGGACAAATTCTGAGAAAGATACAAAATGCCAAAACTGGCTCCAAAATAAGTAGAACATTTGAATAGATTAATAACAAGTAAAAATATTGAGCATAATGAGTATCTGTTAGCCAAGTTTCAATTTAGGACAGATCTTTGGAAATACAGCAATGTGAATGTGGGCAGTGGGATGAAATGGGTAATTTCATAAAGATAAAACTGCATTTAGAATGTTTAAAACCTCTCCGAAAGTTGGTGTAGATTGGGTTGCAGACAGGTTTCATATCTGCTAATGTCTGACTAAAGTTCTACGTTGTTGAGAGTGATTCTGAAATATTATCTTAAGATCTTAAATGAGGGAATGTTCTGTGAATTCCACATCTTTGTCATACACAGAGAACTAAACTGGTACTGATACCACTGTACTTAGCTAGTTATTAGGAATAGGAAAAAAGCAAAGAGAAGGCCAGACATTATAAGATTGGTCATTTGGGCAGCTTCACCAGGAAGCTGCAACTTTACATTCCCCAGGGAACCACAGTCTATTCCCTGCAGATCACTGGGGAAAGGGCTGGACAAAGAGGAGGTGGGCACATGCACAGTGACGTTGGGGTGATGTAGAGAAGGTGTGTGCTGCCAGCCAAACCTCAGAACAGAAATCATTGGCCCGAGGGGGTGAGGGCCACTGCAAGCCATGAAAATTTGGGAGTACATAATCCCCCAGACAAAGGAATTCTCTCTCTTGGCGCTCTTGGCTCTTATGTGGCTCTCTTGCATTGGCCTGTGTTCCCGCCATAGCCATGCAGCCCTGAGGATCCCACAGGCAATGGACTGATAGACTGCACCTGGGAACACAAAGGAAGCTCGCCTGATGCTGGATTGTACTGTGCCCAACATGGAGTGGAAACTCTGGACACTGGCTTTGATCTTAGCCCTGCTGAAAACGAAATGGGACTTTTTCCTGGTGGGACAAAGGGAAATGGGACCTTGGAAACTCAGGGGTCTGATTCCACAGAAATACAGATTTCCGGGATATCTCATTGTCCCGCGTGAGTCTCCTAAAATTATTTTTTTCTTGTGATATCACAAGAAGCCCACTTCCACCTGCAACAGGTGGGGAAACAGAGAACTCCCCACAGACAAACAGTACTCTTTTGTGAATTCTGATTTGTTTGTTCATTGAGAGGGTAACTAATATTAAACCACTATGTGTTGGGAGGGAGTGGGGGGGCGGGAAGAAAACAAAGAAAAACAAAACAGCAGTTTAGTTCTTATGACTACAGTAAGATGGAAGATTAAACTTTTTCCACAAAGAAATCCTAATTTCTCTCCATGAAATTGAAATAGACAATTCTGTGGTAAAATGTATATGGCAAACTTAAATCATTTAGGCCACAAGGAAGGTTTACCCTTTTTTAATTAGCCAGGATTATTTGAGTAATCAACTCAATTTCACTTTGAACATATTATCTTAAATATATTTTAATCATTGGTTGCTTGCTATAATGTAAAGAAAAATATATATTTTTTACAAAAACTTATTGGTTGACATTTAAGGCAAAGCATCAAAGCCTAAGTTTATTATAATGACACTAGAGGCCCGGTGCACAAAATCCGTGCATGATGGGGGGGTCCCCTCAGCCCAGCCTGCACCCTCTCCAATCCAGGACCCCTCGGAGGATGTCCGACTGCCGGTTTAGGCCCAATCCCGGGGATCAGGCCTAAACTGGCAGTTAGACATCTCTCTCGCAATCCAGGACCGCTGGCTCCTAACTGCTCACCTGCCTGCCTGCCTGATTGCTCCTAACTGCTCCCCCTGCTGGCCAGGTCGACCCCAACTACCCCCCCTGCCAGCCTGGTTGCCTCATGCAGCCTGCTGTTCAGTCGTCCATCCAGTTGTTTTGGTAGTGAAGGCCCCTAACTTTTTATATATTAGGATCTTTTTTTCTTTCTTAGTCTGGGCACTAAATCATCATGCATGATTGACTTTTGCTTACCTTCATCTTCTCTCTATACTTACTTTCTATGAGGTCAGCTCTTCAGAATAAGATTCAGATATGAGTAAAATGAAATAATGGAGCAGCACCAGTGAGATGGAGATGGATAAAATCCTCTCCGGACTCACTCTGAATTATTACTTGGTTCCCTTTCAATTTGGGGCATCAAATTTCCCCTGAAGGTATATAGTTTCGTTCAGGAGGGCAAAGCATTGATGGCAACAAGTAAGGAAAATAAACACTGCTAATTTGCACACATAATAATAAAGGAAAAAAGAAGAATACGATACCAGGGAGAGGTGGGGACTTGTTTCTTCTCAGAGAAACAGGAGACACCCGTTTTTCTAATGTGAAAGTAAATGACTTCTGCTAGGCTCCCCATAATTTTATATATAATGAGAATTGGAGTTGCACAAAGTATTGCTTTAGGAAGGTTTCCACATAGATTCATGACATAGTAACCTCACTAAGGATGCAGAAAGAAAAAAATCAACATCAATTAAATGAAAATCAAATTTTGATAAGAATACTCAGTTGTCTAACTTAATGTTAAATAGTGTCCCAGGTACTCTAATTTATATGTAATGTTTCATAGAAGTTAAATATTCTTGGTGACCTACATATATTGAGAAGGAAGAAATGAATCTGCTGGGAGAGCAAGGATCTTGATCTCTATATATTTACATATAATTCTGAATATATATATATATGTGTGTGTGTGTGTGTGTGTGTGTGTGTGGATATATATATATTCTGAAAGAAAAAGCAAATTGAGTATTGACTTGGAGAAAACATGATTTCCTTCCTGATGTCCCTTTCACCAGCTAAGTGACCATGAGAGAGCCATTCATTTGGCATCAAATTAGCAGAGAAGTTTGTTTATCGGAATCCAGTATTGTGACAAAATCAAAGTACTTATGGATGGCATCCATAAACTCCTCAGAGCATGGAACAGAGTGGACAAGAAGAGACTAACGAGACCTTTTGCACTTAGAACACTGAACCAAAACCTCCATTTGATCTAGGACTCTCTCCTCCCCTCTCTTTCTTGCTCTTTTTTTAAAATTAATGTTTGGGGAGTGACATTGGTAAATATGAACATATATTTCTTCTCTCTTAAAAAAATCCTTAGCCTAGGATGTGTTTTTATTGATTTTTTTTTCTAGAAAGAATAAGGGGGAGAAAGACAGAAACATCGATGTGAGAGAGAAATATGGATGGCTTGTCTCAGGTCCAGCCCCTGACTGGGGATCCAACCTGCAACCTAGGTATGTGTCCTCGCTAAAACTGAACCCAAACCTTTTGGTGTTTGGGAAGATGCTCCAACCAACTGAGCCACCCGCCAAAGTCTCTCTCTCTCTCTCTCTCTCTCTCTCTCTCTCTCTCTCTTTCTCTCTCTCATCTCTCGTAAAGTTATGTATTTTGAGCCAGGCACTGATCTCAGTTCTTTAAGTCTGCAGTATTAACTCATTTAATCCAATACAACACCTATAAGGGAGTCATTACAATTCTCTCCATTGGATGGCCAGCGAACTGAGGTACCAAGAGATTAAAGAAATTGCTGTCATATAACTGTTTAGTGGGGTAGGTGGCATTCCTGCCCAGTCTGGCGATAGAATCTGTACTTTTAACCAGTATGCTTTGCTTTCTTTCTTTGCATTTATCCCGTTAATAACATGATGTTAACTGAAAAATAAGATGTAAACTAATGAAAGGGGTGCGAAGGGTTAATGCTAAAGCACATCCGCGAGCTGGGAAAAAAGACCGCCCCCCCCCACAAAAACCCACAAACAAAAACAAACTAGCTAGCAAAGCCTGTTCCAGCCCCCGCAGGATCGTCAATGGGCCTCCTGTTTCTTTAAACTCTCGCTTTCGCTCTGGCTGACACTTTACAAAGCAGCTGTGGCGGCTGGACCACGCGGCCCCGCGCCTCCTCCCTCCACCCGCCCCTGGGGGTCTGGGGTTCGAAGGGGCTTCTCGGGGTCACTAGGCATACCCGCTCTGGTTTGCTTTCCTCACACACCACCCCTGCCATACGAGCCCTCCCGGGACAGGGGAACTCTGATTAACCCTTTTGAGTCCAGAAAGAACCTCTTCCGCGGCCACGACCCCCCGCAGTCTGGCCCCCCGCCGTCTGGAGCGAAGGCGACCCGGGGGCCAGGCGGGTGCGGGCGCCACTGGCCGGAGGGCCAGCCAGGTGCAGGGATGGCGCCCCCCGCGGCATGGAGGTGCCGCCCGCCCCTCCCCTCCTGGCTCGGCTTTCTCACCGCCTCTCCCAGCGCCCGGGGCCGGCGGCGCGGGGGGCGAGCCGTGCCGAAGTTGCCCTCTGCCTCTCCCTTGCATGGCTCCCCGGGTTTAATCTCTCGGCGACTCTTCTGCCAGCTCCGAGGAAAGTGCAGCCATTGGACAGGTCGGTGCTAGCTGCCGGTTTCGGGGAGGAAGGTGGGAGAAGGCTGGAGGAGCGAGGGGGAGGGAAGTGGGAGGGGGGAGGAGGGTGCAGCGGCCGATCTGGCAAATTGCGAGCTGCCTTTCCTCCCCAAAGATTGGAGCCGGAGCGCTGGGGAGCGCGGCCACGGGGGGCGTCTCCTCCGCCACCAAACTCCGGGGTTCGGTTGGGCTAGGGGCCACCTCCTCCTTAGACCGGAGGAACCCTCTCTCAATAGGTTCAGCCAGATTTTTTTTTCCTACCTATTTCTTTGTTCTTCTTCCTTTTTTAAAAAAACAGCATTTTCTTCCCTGACTTTGGATCTAAGTGCTGCAGCCTGAGCCTTCCCAGGGCTCAGCTCTTTGGAGCTGCCCATCCCTCCGGCGGCGAGAAAGGACGCGCGCCCGGCGTCGGGCGAAGAAAAGAAGACAAACTTGTCGGAGGGGTTTCGCCAGTCCACAGTCACCCCCTCCCCGCAAACCCAAACCTCCCGCGGTGGCCAGCCCAAGATCGCGAAAAGTTCCTTCGGATCCGCCTGCTCTCTTGCCTTTGGAGGAGGCACCCGCGCTGGCTGTGGAACTGGATCTGTTTTGAACCCAGTGGAGCGCATCACGGGGGCTCGGAAGGCACCCGGGTGGCGCTGCGGGTGCGGAAGCGGGAGTTGGCGAGCCCCGGCTGCGGCTGGTGGTCTTTCCTCCCCGCGGTTGCGGTTTGGTGTCTGGGGTGAGGGCGGCGAGCGTGGTGGCAAGTTGCGAGGAGAGACCGGAGGTCCGGAGAGGACTGCGCTCCCCCTGGTCCGCCCTTCCTCTTCCTGGCTCCGGGCTGTGAAATCCCAGCGAAATTTACAAAGGCCGCCCCGGACCGCGGAGAACCTTCCACGGCGTTAAGCTCCGACCTCCCCAGTCCCACCGAGAGCCCAGGGCGCCGGGGAAGGACTGGCGCGGAGGAAGAGGAGGAGGGGGGTCGCGGCGGCGGCATGGCGAGGTTCCCGAGGGCCGACCTGGCCGCTGCAGGAGTTGTGTTACTTTGCCACTTTCTAATGGACCGGTTTCAGTTCGCTGGAGGGGAGCCTGGGAACCAGATCAGCGGTAAGATCTGCTTTTCGAAAGCTTGTTGATTTTGTGTGCCGCTGAAGACCTCTCGGACACCCCCGTTCTCAACCCACCCCCACCTCATCTGTCTGCTCTTAGGAAAGTTATTGCAGTTGCTTTGGGGGTAAACTTGGGCTTCCCAAATGGGGAGAAGAGGGTTGGCTAGCGAAGGATGGAGGGGACTGTGGCTTTCGTGAGGGTTCGGGCTTGCTTCACCTGAGCGCCAGGGGGTGGCACTGACTCCCCCAAGTCGCTCCGAGAGGACTCTGGCTACCTCGCCCAGGAGCTGGCATCCCTGGGCTGTCTCTTCTCCGGCTCCCCCTCCTTCCTTGCTGCCCCGAGAAACTGAAGGAACGCGTGATGGGGGCAGTGGGTGGAGGGCTTGATGGCAGCCGGGATTGCAAGGCTCCTGTCAGCTGGAGAAAATTACCAGTGGCTGCACCTTTCTACCTCCAGGCAATCTCCAGTTTAGCTCCCTTTCGCCGTCTGGGGCGCGGCGGGTGCCAGAAGTGGGCAGGGTAGGAGTGGCGGGGCGCCGAGGAGCGTGGGAGGTGGCAAATGTAGGGCGGGCACGCCTCTGGTGACCAACCCCTGGCCCCATTGTCCTCCGCCTGCTGGCTGTGCAGGCGGGCCTGAACGTGCGGGGTTCCTCCGAGCGCCGTGTCACTGCCCCCGCGCGCAGCCCCGGCCCCCGCAACTTCCCGGTGCAGCGCCTCCTGCTCCCGCCGCAGCTCCAACCAGGTGCGCGTCCAGCCGGGAGCCGCGCCCCGGGGCGGGTGCGGAGCCCGCGATGCAGCCCGGGGTCGGCTCCGCTGGCTCCTCCGGGCGAGGCGCTGAGCCTGAGGTCCGCCCGCCTCCCGGGACCCTGCCCGCTGCCCGCCCGCGCTGTCCCCGGTTTCTGCCCCTCGGAAGGGAAGCGAGGAAACAGGCAGAGACAGACCTTGGCAGAAATTTGAGAACTCGGGGGGACTTCAAGAGTAGGTGAAATGAGAAAGAAAGAAAAAAAAAAATAAAAACACCTGGAGAGGGGGAAAAAAGGAGACATTTCAGTTTACGATAATAAGATTTTGATTTGTTTTCATTCTGGGAGCGGAATTAAAGCGGGTCGGGGAGGAGGATGGTAAGTGATTCTTCAGAAAGTACAAAAGTGTCCGAAAATGTCAGACATGAAAGTGGCAGAAGGAAGAAGGCCAGGGAGGGCACCTGGGGATTTCAGGTGAGTGAATCTTCAAGGAGGTACTTGAAGGAGATTTTATAAGCTGAAGCCTAGAAGACAGACAGCCAAAACACTGTGTCTGCCCCAGGTGCAAATTCTTAGAGAAAGTACAGATTCAGGATTGGAGGGTGTCTGTGCTTGTATAGAGAGGGCGGGGACAACATGATGATCACACTTTTAAAACTGAATAAAACGCAAATTTCCTGGAAGTTGACTTGTCTTTATCACATGCAGTTTCACTAGGTATTATTTAGATCACTATATCATGCCTTCTGTTTATTTTGATTAAAGAAGAAAAAAAAGACTTACCCCTCCAGGAATCAATACATTTATTTTAAAAGGTGCATCAGTAATTTTCATGGACTTTTTCATGGAATAAATAAATGCCTTTAAGCATATAAGCAATTTAATTCATCTCAAAGGAAGTCTCAGAGTGGTGTGTGTGCCAAAATGCATCTCAAGTTGTTTATTTGAAAACTTATTTGGCACTGGAAGTAAATAATGCATTTATAGTAAAAAATAAAAGAAAGCAAATGTTTATTTTTTTCTGAAAATTTTTCATTAAAAATATAATACTGAGAAAATAATATATACAATGAAGTTACTATTCTAAGTTGTTAAATTGAAGTTGAAATTCATTTCACTCTAAAATTGATCAGATAGTTAAAAGCCTTTGCTTTAAGAAATACAAAGTACTTAAATTGTTCAATTGGTGTGGTAAGCCAGCCCAATATTTTCTGGTGGAAAACTACTCTGGAAACCCATATATTTATAGCTTGAGTAAAAAGGGAATAGTTTTAAATTTGATGACAAATTTATTTGGACACTTATTATAAACTGAAGTAGCTTATTTTCTGGATATCAATTTACATATAGTTTTATGAAATAATCCTGGAATAAAATAGCCTACCGAATATATAAAATACAGCAATGAAATGGGAGAAAAAAATACAGTTTCCTATTCCTATTAAAATACTCTAGCTAAACGTTCAACACAGTAAATAACAAAGAGTCCAACAGTCTTGAAATTTGGAATGTAGCAATCAGGATTTTTATTACAGACATTTTGGCATTGGGGTAAAATCTGATTTCATAACAGGGTTATTTTATTATGCATTACTTGAGTAATGCTGTAGTTTATTTTATTGCCACCAGAGGGCAGAAAAACTGCTATTTTCTTATATTTCCATTCCCCAAATCTCTGATTAATGATCCTCAATATTTTGTTTTTCCTATGTGTAATATTTTTTGGTATTTCAGATTTTATAAATGAGTGACAATTTTCTATAATGAGAGCTTGTTATATTTTTTTGTTTTCATTGAAATTAACTAAATATAAATTCATTCAACCTCCTACATGTACAAAGACCTACACTTTGAATACATCCTTATGGTGTAATAAGTGCAGTGGAAAAAAAACAAATACCCTCTTTTGTTTTATTGCTGGAGATTGTTAAAAAATTACTGTAGAATTCCCAAGAATATAGTTTTAAAATACCTCTCATTAAAAGGTCATTATTATATAATTAATTTAAGTTTAGGATTGAATATACTTTATGCATATATGCACAGTCTTTGCTCATGCTAAGTAGTATATCTCAACACCAATACTTAGAATAACTATTGGAATAATAAATCTCAAATCATCTTTATATGATAATACATTCATTTTTAAAAAGCAGTTTAGTAACAATGTCCAAGGAGAAAGATGTATTTCTATCTTGAAAATTTCTAAAATTTAAGTGAGAAAAAAGGCCTAAAATATGTAGTTAGATTTTTATTTGATTATTACTCTCAAATGTAACTTAATGCAACAAGAAAGCTTATTATCACTATGCAGAGAGAGCAAAACTAGTTTAGGACCCAAGGGGATTTTAACTTTTTAAACTTTCTAATATTGTAATGTTCTAGGGACAAGTAGTTTATTTGTAGTAGAGTATTTACATTTATTTTCGTTGTTTCTCCAGTTGGGTATTTTATTTGTCTGTTTTCATTGGAATTATAAAACTTAGTGTGAAACATTACTGACTTGTGGAGTTTGTTATGGGAGTATCTCTGTTGAGACACACTGTCACTAGTATACATTTTCCAACTACAAAAGACATGGGTCAGGTAATCAGACAAATGACAGCCATTACGTGTGACTGCATACCAAAAAATTGTAAAATATGAAATGTGAGAGGCTTTGTCCTTTAGAGAGTACATGCAAGTTGAAGCCTGAGGTTGTGCAAGTTTGGCCTGTGATGTTAGTGTGATCTAGAACATTTACGTCAGAGGTAAGGTTTTAGTTCATGGATGTCTGCATAGAGATTTTGAGTTAGTATATTTATAAAGATGAATGGATTGAGCAACAACTGTGATCCTGAGACCCAAAGTCTTAGCCGTTTCCTTTAAATACAGTCTCTTCACTGTGGCTTTCAAGACCCTGTCATCTCAAACTACTTTTCCACCTCTTTCTCCTCTGTATGTTTTTTTAGCACTCTAACCAAATGTGGCTTCTTGATGTTCCCTGAGCATATAGCATGTGTTGCTATCTCTGCCATTCCTTCTGCTCTACCTTCCCTAATCCACCTCCATCCATCCCTCTTCTACTTTTCCCGCTTCACAGAAGGATGTGATGTTTTAGATCCCACAGAGAACTCTATGCCTTGTCTAAGGCTCTTGTTTAACTCTGCTTGCTATTGTAGGAGTATTTTTTCCTTCCTTTTCTGCATCTTTCATGCATTCGCAGAGACCACATTACATACTCTGAAAGTCACAGTCTACATTGTTCACTTCTGAATCCCCTGAGGTACCTGCCACCTAGACATGCAGTAAGCAGTTGTTGAACTGAGTGGAATTATAGTTCAAGCTAGATGGACTGCTGACTTGAAGGTCACCTTGGAAGGCATTTTCTTACCTCTATCACTTTTTCCATCAATAAGATGGAAATGAATACATAGATGGGCTTTACAGAATAATAGTTTAAAATGAGAGAATAGGATGAAGAGGTCTGCCCAACTGTTATAATGCATCTAGCAGATGACATATATTTACACTAAACTTTCTATTAATATACAGAACTTTGAAAAAGTTTATTTTACCATCCTACTATACTTCTGGTTTCTGACTCAACTTTCTCTCATGTTCTTAATTTAATACCTTAAAGTATGGTGTATACATGTGCGTGTTTGTATATAAAATGTATATGTGTAAATGCATATATATATATAATCAGTGATAGTCTAATTTCAGTGGAGATGAACACTATTAAATAATTGTAGTACCCAGTGAAATTACTTTTGAACGGAACTGGGCTTAGGCCTCATGCCATTAACATATACAGAAGGAGGCTTTAAAAACATAGTTTCATAAACTTGTTATGGTAGTTGTTATGGGGGCATGGCGGGTGGTGTTTTGCAATGCTTAACACAGGGTCTGCTTCCTGAGTGGCAGAGAGAGAGAGAGAGAGAGAGAGAGAGGGAGGGGCAGGGAGAGAGAGACAGGATTTTGTGTTGAAATAACAGATAATATACAGTTCTTCTGAACGGGTTTGTTTGTATTTGTTTGTGTCTTCTGGACATTATGAAGAGTGACCAGATGCGTTACCTTTTACATCTTGGTTTCTTGAAAGCTCAGAGCATAATTAGTGGCCCACCTCCAACAAGTATTTGAACCTTCTGGCCTACATTTTGTGTACTAGCTTCCCTGGGTTTTCATCTTATCTTTCTTTCTCTCATTTATCTTTGTCCAGCTTTCCTCACTTAACATCTTGTCTTGTATTTATACAAGAGATGGGAAA